TCACTGCAGCCTTGAATTCCTGGGCTCAAGTGATCCTCCCACCTCAGCTCCCAAGTAGTTGGGACTACAGGCACATGCCACTATACCTGGCTAATTTTTAAATTTTTTTTTTTTTAGAGACAAAGGGTCTTCCCGTGTTGCCCAGGCTGATCTAGAAATCCTAGCCTCAAGTGATCTGCCTGGTTTGACCTCAGAAGTTACTGAGATTACAGGCATGAGCTATGTCTCCCAGTTTTAATTTTTTTAAATAACTTGCAACTTATGTTGTACAGCCTATTTCATTTCTGGGTAGTTTTCTCTTTTTTCCCTCCTTTAAATAATTTTTTAAAAATCTAAACATATAGTTTACAGTTGATATGGTTTGGCTTTGTGCCCCCACCCAAATTTCACCTCGAATTATAATCCCCACATGGAGGGAGGGACCTGGTGGGAGCTAACTGGATCATGGGGGACAGTTTCCCCCATGCTGTTCTCATGAGACTGAGTTCTCACAAGATCTGATGCTTTAAAAGTCGTAGTTCCTCCCTCACCTTCTCTCTCCCCCGCCACCTTGTGAAGAAGGTGCCTGCTTCCCCTTTTGCCATGATTGTAAATTTCCTGAGATCCCCAGCAATGTGGAACGGTGAGTCCATTAAATCTCTTTGTTTACAGATTACCAAGTCTCAGGCAGCATCTTTATAGCAGTGTGGAAATGAACTAATATAACCATTAAAGAAAAAAGATACATGTAAAGGAACTTTTGCTTCTTGTAAAGGCAGGTTAGGTTATTCAGGCCTACACTCGTACTGCAAACAATTAAGCTGGTGGATTAAACTTACTTCTAAAAATCTTGGCCAAGCGTGGTGCCTCATGCCTGTAATTGCAGCACTTCAGGAGACCGGGGCAGGTGGATCACAAGGTCAGCAGTTCAACACCAGCCTGACCAACATGGTGAAACCCCATCTCTACTAAAAATCCAAAAGTTAGTTGAGTGTGGTGGTGTGTGCCTATAATCCCAGCTACTCGGGAGGCTGAGGCAGGAGAATCGCTTGAACCTCAGAGGCAGAGGTTACAGTAAGTGGAGATTATGTCACTGCACTCCAGCCTGGGTGACAGAGTGAGACTCGGTCTCAAAACAAACAAACAAAGAAAAAAAACCTTGTAAGTTAGTAAGAAATTACCAGGAACCTAGAGGTACACCTAGATGCCATTTTTACCCTAAGAATATTTCACTACCAAGAAAAAACTGATCTGCAATTTGATAAACTCTCTGGACCAAGGGGTCGTAAGACAAGTCCTGGGTCTGCTTCATGATTGAGAGATCATTCAACATTAAAGCAGGAATAGTAAGGGGGCTATCTTTATCTTTTTTTACCCCTATTAGTTCTTGAGCCTTCCTTTGATTTCTTCCTTTTTTTATTTTTTATTTTTGTATTAGGCTATCTTTAAGGTGAGAGTAGGAAATAATAAACTTACTTCTATCCTTTAACCTCCTGAGAAGTTGATCTAGTGCTTACTAAAGGGACAAGCGTAGTTGTATATCATCGTTTAATCCTAGGGTAGATTTACAACCTAATTTAACATGTCATGGGTGGTCCCATACACCTCAAGCCCCAATTTAGTTTAAAACAGTTCTGGTCTGACAATGCTCTAATCTCCTGGCAGAAGCAAATATTCCTTTGGGGAAAAACACTTCAACCCTGGCCTTAAGTAATCCGAAGTGCGATTTCTCAAGAACAATCCCCAATAAACACTTACGGTCAACAGCACAGAGAAACAAGGAATCATGAACAAGAACCAACAAAAGCAAGAGAAAGCAGAAAATGACCTGCAAAGACTTGAGATATTAGAATTATAAAACATAATATGCTAAGTATTTTCAAATAAAAGACTATCGGTCAGAAGAAAGCCACGATGGGAAAGATACCAAGATGAGTGGTTAAGATATATGAAAGCTAGCATGAGAAGTCCTAAAATACATTTGATTGCATTTCCAGAAAAAAAAAAAAATAACAGAGAAAAAGAATGAGGCAGAGGCAGTATGTGAAGAAATAATGGCTGTTGTTACGTATCTTAATGCTAAACCTATGATTGGTCAGGGGGAAACCCCAACAAAGCTGAAATTTTTCACAACTGATAAGGTCGATTCATAGACTTAAGAAGCATAACGAACTGCACAGATTAAAAAGGAAAATCCACACCTAGATATACTTGCTAGATTAGACTTGCTAAAAACTACAAAGTAAAAATCGTAAAAAAAAAAAAAAAAAAAGATTACCTTCAGAGGAGCAACATTTTAAAAAGCTGAATTCTCAACAGCAAAGACAGAAGCTAGAGGCCACTGGGTGTGATACAGTCTAAGTGTTGAAAGCTACCTGCCACCTTAGTGTTCTATCCTTAGTGTTGTATTGGAACTAAAGTTACCAGCATGAACTCATGATTTTGCCTGTATATGTGTGTGGATGTATGTACGTGTGCGTTTAGTTTTTCTTAAGGCCCTCCTTTGATGAACTCATGATTTTTGCAGACACAAATGTACATATGATTTTTACAGACAGACATATACATATATTTTTTACCTTGTTTGCCAAAAAGGCCTAGAAGCAATACCACTCCAGTGGTAGAACCTAGATTTTCCATTTCTATAAACCATTCCCCATTAAAAGGAACCAGGGATCCTTGGAAATAATGGCTGGTCAGACAAAGTACAAGATGGGCCTGGAATATCTAGTTGTTTCACAAAGTAGGTAGGTACCAAACATTTTAATTCTTCAGATGTGGTTAGATTCATTTTATTAATTCTTCCAGATGTAGCTAAATGCCTGCCCTCCACGAACTGACTGCAAATTTATCACTATATACATACACACACATTCTCTTTTTAGAAGAAATTATAAATAAATGTGTTTAAGGAGTGCTGGTAAGCATGAAAAACTGAAAAAGGGAATTCACAGGTATTCTTCTGTTCTTTGCCAAAATCATAGCCTTACCCAAAAACATATGTATAATAGTTCCCTTAAAAGGCTTACTAGCTTTCCTTAAACTGGGTAGTGTTTGATAGTCCATCAAATCCTTCTTAATTAAAGCATTTTGTAAATTAATAATCCCTCCCCAAATCAACTTCATGTAATTTGGGCAACAGTTTCATACATAATTTTACCTCCAATGTCATTTGTTCCAGAATGGCTGGCTATTACATTTCTCATTATATATGAATATATTGACATTCTAGTCTACATAAGGGTAAAATCATCCCCAAGAGGTTGACCTCTCAGTTTACAGACAAAATTAAGCCTCCAGGTCTATACAACTAAAGCAAAAACCGTAAGAATGTTATGAATTTACCAATACAGATGGCACTTTATCATGTCTTCTGGCAGTCACTTTTCCTTCAAGACACCTTAGTATGTTTCCTTTTTCAAATTTTGAAACAATATATTTATACATACATGTAACAGTTATTTATATCCACTGTTTACCAGGCTTTGTACCAGGTGAATAGGAAGCATTAGATCTTTGCCCTCATGGAGCTTAGAGACTAGCAGGAAAAACAAAAGCATATGGGTGCTAACACCAAACTGAGGTATGTGCTACAGCAGAGTCTCTTAGGACATAAAGAAATACAGAATACTTAACCCAACCTGAAAGGATCACCTGAGCTAAGTGTTTAAGAACACATAGGGACTAGCCAAGGGAAAACACAAGAGACAGAGAAAGGGCTAAGTCAGAGGACTGGCACTTGATGTTGGAGAAAGGGTGGTAAAAAACAAACAAAAAAAGAACCTGAGACACAAAACAGAAGAAAGATCATAAGGGCATTGTACATAAATCCTGCAGAGCTGAGGTTTTCCAGAAAGCTAGAATTTCATGCAGGGAGTCTTAGAGGAACAGATTTGCATGTTAGGAAGGTCACTGGTGATTATGTGGAGAAATGAAAAAGGCTGAAGACAACTCGAAGGTGGGGACAACCTTAAGGAAACTACTACAGTAATCCTAAAGCTAATCCAGACAAGAAACGGTGAATTTAGAGCAATGGTATTGAACGGGGGATGACTATGCCAATGCCCTCCACCCACCAGAGGGCAACATGTTTCAATAGCTGAAGACATTTTGATTGTCAAAACTGGGAGATAGCACTGGATTCTTAGAGGCCAGGAAGGCTGTTAACCATCCTAGAATGTACAGGCCAGACCCCCACTTCCCTCACCACTCCCACTGAACAGTGATCCAGCTCAAAGGTCAATACCACAGTTGAGAAACCCTGCAAGAGATACTGAAGAGCGATTAAGTAGCTTTAGGAGATAAAACTTTTAGACTGACTAGAGGCAAACAGTGAAGAAAAAGAGGGTCCTATTGACCGTTCATATTCCCCTGTCTCCAAATTCATATGTTAAAGCCCTAATCCTCAGTGAGGCTGTATTTGAAGGTAGGACTTCTAAGGAAGTAATTAAGGTAAATGAGGTCTTAAGGGTGGGGTCCTTATCCAATAGGACTGTGTCCTTTTAAGAAAAGATACCAAGGAGCTCACTCATGCACTCATTCACTCTTTTTCCCCTTATGCACACCAAAGAAAGGCTATGTGAATAGACAGCAAGAGGGTAGCACCCTGCAACTCAAAGGAAGAGCCCTCGCTAGATACCAACCTGGCAGGCACTTGGAATTCCAGTCTTCAGAACTGTGAGAAAATAAACTTCTGTTATTTAAGCCACCCAATCTGTGGTATTGTTATGGTAGCCTGAGTGAACTAATAAAAGGGGTAATGAAAGATTCCCAGTATTTTTGTTTGGGGGAATCTGAGTAGATGATGAATAGAAAAGATACTGGGTGGCATGGAATTGTTTTCTGTTTTGTTCTGGTTTTTCTTTTGAGATGGAGTCTCAGCATGTTGCCCAGGCTGGTCTTGAGACACAAAGGTTTTGAATTATCTGTGGTACTTGGATGTACATCAAGACCAGCCTGGGCAACAGGCTGAGATTTTTTTTTTTACATTCTTTAACTTATTATTTTTTTTTTTTTTTGAGACAGAGTTTCGCTCTTGTTACCCAGGCTGGAGTACAATGGCGTGACCTCGGCTCACCGCAACCTCCGCCTCCTGGGTTCAGGCAATTCTCCTGCCTCAGCCTCCTAAGTAGCTGGGATTACAGGCACGCGCCACCATGCCCAGCTAATTTTTTTGTATTTTTAGTAGAGACGGGGTTTCACCATGTTGACCAGGATGGTCTCGATCTCTCGACCTCGTGATCCACCCGCCTCGGCCTCCCAAAGTGCTGGGATTACAGGCTTGAGCCACCGTGCCCGGCTTACATTCTTTAACTTATATATGCAAAAGATATGTAAGTCAACATTTTATAAAGTATTAACCTTCCAAGTAACTATTTTTAAGGACTGTGTTTTTCCATATTAGAATTTTCAAAATTGTTTTGAAACTCCATAGTGGAATTAGCTCTCCTAATTTACTTCCTGTTAACCAATGTTCTCCATTACTTCTGATGCCTATGACAGATCATAAGTCACACTTTAATACATCTACTCTTATCAAACAGCATACTTATCAGGAGCCAACTTTATTTGCTTCAGGTAGTGGCAACTATTATATTACATAACTCAATAAAATATGCATAAACCAATAAAACAAATGTTCAAAATAAAGCTGTTTCTATGAAAGTTAAGTCACATACTCTGGAAATACATAAAACTTTACCACAACTCAGTAATGGGGGTCAAAAAATTTAATCACATAAACATAGGAAGTTAATGCTAACTTACAAATTAACCCAGGATAATAAAGAAATTTCTAGCATCGAGTACTAAGCAGAATATGGATGTAATGAGCAGGAAGATTCCATGGGAAAGGTAAAATCCTTCCCTTATGGTTCATTATAGAACAAAAAAGAGACCACCCTCTTCCTAACAGAAGGGACCAGTGTCTCAGCATGTGGGATGGAGATAATGAGGAAATGATTACCTACCATCAGATCAACAATTAGTATACACTGAAATTACAACGACTGTGAGACTGACCTAAGTATAATATACAACTTTTGAGCTTCCGCTGCCTTTGGAGGCATCAGCACAGGATGCAGTCTAAAGAAAACTGTAGAGGTTTCAAAACATTTACAACATAATTCTAATATTCATGAACATTTGAGACTGTAAGTTAAATATAAAATAGCTGTAAGTACTCGATTAACATATAAAATTTTAGTAAATACTAAAAAACTTACCTAGATTTATCCAAATTCCACCTGGCTTGAGTATTTTCCATATTGTATCAATATAATCAATTACATTGTGAGCTGTGTCTATGAAGAAACAGGTAGCAATACAGTCCCAGGTATCTAATCAAGAAAAATTAAATTACTGCATCTGTTACTTTACGTGTTTCTTTTACTTAATCCTTTAAAGTTGCCAGATACCTTTTACAGAGTATTAATATCTGACAAACACAGAAGCTAAACTTCTGATCAACACTATAATCATGGTAACCTAATAATCACTTATGGGAAATACTGATATCAATAATCTGATTAAGTAATCAATTTGGAAATCATCCCCAATAACACTGATATGATAATCTAATCTCAACATATTATTACCAAATTATATTTGTAAGAGTTTTGTTTATTCTCTATTCAAATTGTAGGCTTCGTTTAAAATCACTTAAAACAAAATAATAGTCATTCCAATTTACACTAGTGTTAACCACCAAGTCTGACAGGTTTCAGAAAGACTGCAGGCACCAGTTGCCAACTGAGAAATGAATGGCATCCAAATACCTCAAGATCTGCTACAACTGCAAATAATTACCAGGGAAAAAGGGGGGCCAAGGGCAGGTAGAAGCAATGGATGACAATCCAGTAGAGAACACCGTTTGTCTCTTGGAGGTATGGTGTCTGTACAAATCCTGGTGCAATAAAGGCACTTGATCCCATGGAGGATTACCTTTATCATCTGTTCTCTCAAGCCCTGCTCCAGAAAAAAGGGGCCTTTTACTTGCCTAAGTGGTGTTTTCCATTATTTCATTCCTTATCCCCAACACCTTACTTCTTTCAACTCTCCCTTTCTTCCTTCAGAATACAGGTTGTGCCAATCTCATAGTTCAGGGAAAAATAAAAGCTTTCCATGTGGTTAAATAAATAAATAAATAAATAAAAACAATCTATGTTGTTGCTACTCCTGCTTCAAGCTCTCCAATGGCATCCTGTTTCTCTGAGTATAATTCCAAGTCCTTACTATGGCCTGTCTACAGGTTTGCCTCATCAAACCCTCTCAAGGCTGACTTCCCACCACTGTACCCATTGCTTACTACAGCCCAGCTCCTCCTTGAGAAGAGCAATATACTCCCTACTCCCTAACCCTCCTTCCTTGCCATTCCCCATCTGCATCATTTTCCCTTCAAAGAGCTCAATGGTTTGCCTCTGTACTCATTCAAGGTTCTCCGCTAGATTTTTTTTTTTTAAGTTTCTGCTCTTAGAAAGGTTTTCCCTGACAACTCTATAAAAAGCAGCAGCCCCTCCCCAGTCACTCTGTAACCCCTCTTCCCTGCCTTAGATTTTCTTTCTTACAATATTGTATGTGTTATTGCCTCACTTTCTCTACTAGAATAGAAGTTCTCCATGCACAGGGACTTTGTTTTGTTCCCTGTTCTCTTTTGACACCTAGAACATACCTGGTACTTAGTAGTGACTGAATGATTTTCCCGAACCCTCAGTATTCTATTTTTTTTTCCCTTTTACTGCCAATCTCCTTCTCCTCTTTCCCCATTACCATCTCCCTTTCTCTCATCCCTACCTCATATTTCTTCAACAGTTTGCCAGGCAGAAGTCAATGCACAGCCTGATTATAAAAGTCCTCCATGATCTAGAACAAATTTACTTTTCTAGCAATATCTCCCATTAAATCCCATTAAATCTTTCATTAAAGCTTTTCTTTCCTTGCCAGTACAGCTGTGCTGGCATCCCCAATCATCTTATTTATATCTTTGTACTTCTGTCTGCCTCAAATGCTATTCTCTCAACCTTCAAGTCATAGCCTCACTATGAACAGCTTCCTTCTCACACCAATAACCTTTCTTTTTTTAGTATTCGTTACTCATTTAAACTGTTTACATCGTATCTTTTAGTATTAATGGGCCCAACAGATTCTAAATTTCTTGACTGCAGATATCTTACACTTCTTTTTATTTCCCATCGATGGCTTGTATATGACCTTGAAAACCTCTGAATTGACACTGACGTATGCCTTATGTTCTACCATCAAAATGAGTGATCTAAACCTTGGCTTAGGATAAAACTAGCTCATAAATTTAGAATAAAGGACAACACTTTCTAAATGCTTGATTTGAACTTACTGCATTCTGAATAAATCTCCTGAAAATCTCCTGCTGTCATAGAAAAGTTAGAACCAGGAGGAAGACTGTGGGGGTCAACATCAGGGAAAAAGATAGGTCGAATCTGATCAGCTGATCTCCGGTTATTGCTAAACTGATGGATCCAAGGATAAAGTTTATATTTATTAATTTCAGAACATCTGCAAAATATGAGCATAAAATCAGGTGTTAACTAAATATTTTACCAAGAAAATCCACTTTAAATGCTAAAATATTCTGTTTAATTGAATATTTGCATATGTAATTCATTATTATTTAAAAAGTCACTACAACAGCTTCCCTAATTATCTGAAAATGTACATATACATGTAGATGAGCAACCAATCATGGATTAAAGACAGAAAAAAAAGTAAATTCAGAGATATAAATGTACTGTTCATTCAAAGTTTTAAAAATTTATTTCTAAACTTCAAAACCAAGTAAAACAATCCAGCTAGTTTTTTTTTTTTAAATGGTAGTGGTTTCAACTAAAAGTTTGCTATCTTTTTTTTTTTTATAACCTTCTTCTTTTTCTCTTTTTCACTAACCCCCTAAAACTCACACTGCCATCCGAGACAATGTATTCTTCAAATAAGGCAGCTACTCAGTGTATATTTTCTGGCTTTAAAAATAACAACTGTCTTCCACTGCCTTACAAAGGAGGCCACAGAGGTTCTGAGAGATCTTTCCAACTCAGTCATGAGAGCATACTTGGCCACTTAAATACTCCTTCCTGGTTCATACTTAGTCCTGAAGATTTTGTACAGAAATCATTTCATGGAATGTCCAGTCACTTTCTAGAAAGTCACTTACCCATCCTGTTTCAACATTCTGATAACTAGGCAATTGGTTCAAGTGATAATCCGTGTAAGTACTTTAATTTCAACATAAGAAACATTTGTGATATACATCATAATCAATACTATGTACTTATCTTCAAATTCAAAATTGTCAAGAAAATAGGTAAGTCAATCTGATTCTGAGAAATTACTATTTCCAGCAAAAAATAAATTAAATACCTGTTGAGTACAAAGTTGGAAGAAAAGAGCATAAAAAAACTCCATTCATTTCCTTGACAAGCATAACCTAGCATAGCTATTTCCCAGGCCAGTCTTCCTAGTCCAGCACCAGGTACCAGAATATTTACTTTAGAAGGATCCCTGAAATGAAATAAGGCAATTATGTCCAACCCCTCAAAGAAAAAAAAGAAAGACAAAATCCACATTAACAACTAAAAACTTACTCATTTACTCAGTAAGAATAACCTCACTAAGACTCTGACTTCTTACACTCAAGAAATACTTCTAGATATCAAAAATAAGAGGTAGAAGGAATTATTATATATGTTCAGATATCAGATGAGGGTTTTAGCCCTCAAAAGTTATTTTTCAGAAAAAAGGAGTACTCTTAAATCTGAAGACTTATAAAGTCATTCATATTCCTAACAGCTGTCACCCTGAACAACTATCTTAGAAAGACAAATTATTCCAAAGGGATCCCAATTAAATATGAAGAGTTTGAAAAAAAAATAGTTCATCATATGGGACAATAAATACAACATAACTTTATTTCTAAATTTTATATGTAACCCAGTTGTTTATGTTAGATTAAACAGATGTAGAGTTTAATGTGTCAGGTATATCTCTAAATCCTTAAATATTTTAGTTGACAAAAGAATTTGGGGGAGGGGATATTTTCATGGGGAAATGGGAAATAGCCCTCTAATTAAGCATATATGATGGCAAATATATTACATCGAACCAGAGGTTCACAACC